TCTTCAAAATCGTTCATAATTCTGAATTTTCTTCTTATGATGAATGTACAAGTTATTTTTTTGCATCTGCAGTCCGGTTTTTAGTGTGACTTAATCGTTCAAAATTGTCTAAAATCAGACTTTCTCCTGACTTTCTACGCTTGGAATGTATGAATGTGCAAGGGATAATTTCCACAAACTTGCAGTTTAACTTCACAAAAAAAATGGAATCTTTAAAGAGCTACAAATTTGATTTTTTTAGCACCGACGGGCACTTTTCAACCTATTAAGGCTGAAAATATCATTAAAATCGTTGTAAGTTCTAATTTTTCCAGCTCCACATTCAAAAATTCATACTTTCTAAAGTGATCCAGTTATGAGCGTGAAATTTTACGAGTGTAGAGCAGCGACTTAATTATAAAAACGGTTAAAATTTAACTGAAATCAAAGTTTGCCCTGATTTTCTACGCCTTGGAATGTATGGATGGAAAAGTGATCATTTATATAAAATTGCAATTTAACTTAAAAAAAAATTGCATTATTCGCGCTAAACATCTGGAGCTACAAAGCTATAAATCTGGATTTTTAGCATCAACGGCGTCCATTTAAATCTATTAAGTCGGAAAATGTCATTAAAATAGTTTTTTATCCAAATTTTCCAGCTTGTGATGAAGGTAGAAGTGAATTTTCCTTGAAACTGCAGCCTCGCTTTCAAATATTCGTACTTTCTAAACCGACCCAGTTATAAGCGTGAAATGTTAAGAGTGTAGAGAAAAAACTTAGTCTTACAAAAGGATTAAAACTTGGCGAAAATCAGACTTTGCCCTGATTATCTACGGCTTGCAATACATGGATGTAACAAGTGATCATTTATATGAAATTGCAGTTTAAATTCAAAAAAATTACATCTTTCGCCATAAAAAAGCTACAAATCTGGATATTTAGCACTAGCGGAGCCCATTTAAATCTATTAAGTCGGAAGATGTCATTAAAATCATTCCTTTCCCAAATTTTCCCGCTTGTGAGGAAGGTAGAAGTGAATTTTCCTTAAAACCGCAGCCCGGCTTTAAAAAATTCGTACTTTTTAAACCGACCCAGTTATAAGCGTTAAATTTTAAAAG